CTCAATCTCCGTTATTTTGTCTTGTAGTTCCGTAGAATTCTCTATAATCTTATTGTTTAAACTTTCTTCTAAATTAAGTATTTTGTCATTGAAACTGGCTTGTAGATCTTTAGAATTTTCTATGATTTTATCCTCTAAAATATTAATTAAATCCTGGGAATTTTTCATAATTTTATCTTTCAAACTGTCTTATAATTTTTGAGAATTCTCTGTCATTTTATCATTCAAATTCTCTTCCAAGTTAATCATTTTACTATTCAAATTGTTCAAGTTGTCGTCTAATTTTTGAGAATTCTCTGTCATTTTATTTTCTAATTTTTGTAGACACGAGTCAAGGTCACCTTCCAACTCAAAGCAAAATGTGTCAGGATCCTCACCTTCCTCCACCAAAACGTCTCTCAGTCTAGCTTGCAAAATGCTTTTCTTTCCATCTGTCTCGCACTCTCTCTCTTCCAATATACATTTCAGTTCGGACACTTTCAAGTCTTTCAACAATTTTTTCAGAGCCATGGTCAGTCTTTTTATTTTTCTTGTCTATCACACACGCCACACTTGACACCAATTGTTACGTTTTTTTCGTCGGTTCCGTGTGGATAGAAAGTCACAATTTATTTAAACACTATTTATTTAACACTAATGAACAAAAATAATAAAGATAAAAGACTTATAGAACTATTTACAAACGATTTATAACTAAGAATTTATTTTGAATTTTAGCGCGTCAACTGTATATTTATAACTGCCCTCTCTAGGCCACTGCCGCCGGCTTTTATACCGACAGGTAAAAGAAATCTAGAATAGTCCAAAGATCGTTAGGCGCATAGAGAAGGTTTTCGAATGTTCTCGTATGTACGAGTCCATTCTAGTGGGTCTCGATTTTCTCGAACGAATGAATCATTGCGGTGTCTATGCGATGTTAAGGTCATCCGAGGGCGGGCCATATTGTGAGGTTAGGTCGAGTCCATAAAATAATTAACTAGAAAGAAGTGTCAACTCTGTGTTAAATCGTGGAAACACGATACGCCACCGAAAGCCTTCGTTGTCGTCTGAAGAACTAATTTTCCAATTGACAGGTTGACATGATAAGGACATGATGGCTTAATTTTCATTTCCGTTTCCGGTTATTCAATGGCGGGCCCTCTTTCAGTTTAAATGTATTTTGTATTTTTTCTTTTCATAAATAAAACCAAAAAATAATTTATTCACATATATTTATTTGAAATATGGAACAACGTGACTAAATAAATATAAAAATATAAGGGATTGTATTGTTTCAATACCAATTAGTTAATTATATGCACTTTTAACGTAAATTAGTTAAGGTATAAGCATGACTTACAGTAATTTGTAAATAAACACACGCATTCGCAAACTTCAAGGACAGAAAACGGACACAGGAATATGAAAACGGGAGCCTTATACAAAAACCTGAAAACAGAAAAACAATTTTTTTATACTAAAATTAACAATGTAAAAATATCAATAGGTATAAAATATAAATATACTGTTTAAAAAAAGCATCCATTATTCCCAAAGAACCTGGCTTATAAATCAAAAAGATGCAAAAAAGACTTTTAGTCGGATAACATAATCAGATTATCAGTCCGATTTATTGCATTATTGACAATAAATCGCACATACTGGAGATAACTAATGTTGGCTATAGTTAAAAATGATCTTACCTTGCTGTAAATTGTTTCCATTTTCAAAATAATCGCCGATCATAAACATAACAAAATTTTCTTGCATCTAAAAAATACAGAAATAGTGTTTATTTACTACCTATTTTTAATATACATGGGACATACCTAGTACTGCAGAAACGTCTTTTTCTCCAGGATTTTTCATGTAATATATATTTTATATGCTTTATTACCTTTATATTTATAAGTGTCTGCCGAAATATCAAATTGAATTTACAAGACAAAACTAACCGGAGAGAATTAAAATTAAAATGGCGTCGAAATTTGTTCTAGAACAAATCTGAAGTTGTCTCTAAAATCTGTCAATTCTAAACTGTGAAGTTAAGCCGGAGTCTCATGCATCCGAAATCCGATGACACGACGATCCGACGGTGCTCCTATTGGTCGAAATATTTTGACAACAATTTTTATCCGATAATTTTAACTAATCATCCGACGTCGTATAAAGTTAAATTTTGTTTCACTTTTGTACGATATCGTGTGTTTCTTAACCTCACTTTTTTTGAAAACATTTGTTTTTAAAAACAAGTTTAGTGGGAAGTGGGCAATTTCGGGATATTTGGCGAGGAAGTTATTTTTATAAGTGTTTCTCCAATAAAACATGACATGAATCTCTATTCAGCGCAACAGAAAAATGTTAAAACTGTCAAATTTCGGAACGAACTTTCGGATGTATGTGACAGGCTTTTTTTATTTCACACGATAACTTCAAATTTCGGATGTCGTACCATCGGATTTCGGATGCATGAGACTCCGGCTTTAGACAATAGTTAGACAAAAACAATGCTGTCCTTGTCTAGGCGGCCATACTTGTCGTGAGGAGAATGACAGGAATGACACTAATGACTGTTTCCAATTTTCCTATTTCACTGTCACCCCCCTGGTCGAGTCCACACCGGCTCGCAACAATATTAATACATCTGGTATTATCGTATTATGATATATTGTCGATTTTAGAATAAACTAATCGTTTCCATCTTATTTTTTATTAGAATGGTCATATTTCCGCAAGCTCTACGACTAATACTTTCCGAGATACAGCCGAGAGCTATTCTTAGTGGGACATAGTGTACATGCATTTATTAATAAAATAATAATAATAAATAATGTTTATTCAAACTGATCCAATTACAAGGTATATATAAGACTTATACATAACTTACGAATACAAAATAGTGAATAAACATAATATCCTCTTAAGGTAGAACCTTGTCTGAGGAGTTTTATTTCTACAACAATAACTACAATATTTTATTCGAAATTCTTAAACTATATCTAAATGTATCCAATTAATTTATTTCATTGTCCAACACTTAAGCACGCTAAAAAACAAGTTATTACACAGCGGTCAGATATTGACATAGGGTAGATTGCAAGTTCTAAGGCATATAAGATTACATTATTTTTTTTTTCAAATATTATATTTATTGTGAATGGTTTTTAATATTTCATATTTTGAGTATAAATGTATTCATCTCGGTTATTGTTCTACTAAGTATTCTTTTAATCTTTTTTTAACAATATTAATGTTTTGACAATTAACAATCTCTTTAGGTAAAACATTAAATATTTTAGGTCCTACATATAAATGACTTTTTTGTCCGATAGTTTTATGCATCCGAGGTACATTAATAGTTAATTCGCGTCGACGTAGTCAGTTTGAAAGTGTGATTAGATTATTTTTACTTCTATTGCTGAATGTTATAGATGATGTATTAAAACAAAATAATTGTTTAGCGTCAAAAATGGCTGCTTCTTTGTATAAGGCATCAGAGGGATATCTATAGTTTTTATCGTATATTATTTTCAGCAACCATTTCTGAACTATATTTACACTTGATAATTGATTTTTGCTTCCTGAGCCCCAGGCCACAATACCGTATTGTAAATGGCTCTGACCTAAAGGAAAATACACATTTCTTAGTAATTCTATAGGAATTATACTTTTTAAAAACTTAAATATTACAATAAGTGATTAACTTAACTTTTTAGTCACAAACTGAATATGATAATTCCATTTCATGTGGTTATCAAATATTACTCCAAGATACTTTAATTTGTTTGTTGAGCTTATTGTCACTAGCTTATTGTTATAAGTTATATCTAAATTGAATTTTGGAAGAGTATCTGAATAGCAGGCAAAAGGTAAGAAGAAAGTTTTCTTAAAGTTAACAGTAAGAAGATTATTATTAAAGAGATTGCACACTATTTCCATTGATTTTTCTACTTTTGTTTTCAATTGATTCGAACACGTTGATCTGAAGAAAATTGCTGTATCATCAGCATAACTCAAAATGTGTGCATCGAGTTTCAAGTTTAGTAACTCATTAATGTATATACAAAAAAGTACAGGGCCCAGTACAGTGCCCTGAGGTACACCATAGTTGACCACCCTTTTCTGTCTTTTAACACCCTGGATGGACACGCTTTGCTGTCGGTTATTTAGATAGCTTCTAAATAGATCGTTGGTCCTTCCTCTAAAACCCATATTACTAAGTGTGTATAACAGGATTTCATGGTGAACTGTATCGAACGCTTTTGCTAAATGTACAAAAACACACAAAGAAACCTCGGATGCATCAAGTGCCTCTGAAGCCAATTCTGATAGTTTTATAATAGCATCACTAGCGGATTTGGACTCCACGAATCCATATTGATTTTCGGAAAGGAGTTTAAATTGTTTCAGATTTCAGATACAAACACATTCTTTTTTTAATAAGTTTCTCATGAATTTTGGAAAAGTTACTTAATAGCGAAATTGGTCTATAATTTGACATATTTGTGTTTTCTTCTGATTTAAACACAGGTTTAACAACAGATATTTTAAATATATCTGGAAAAGTGTCATTATTTAGAGATAAATTATAAATGTACGTTAAAGGTTTAACAATAAATTCTTTTATTTGTTGTAGTGTGTTTGCCCGAATACCGTCAAATCCTGGAGATTTGTTCTTTTTTAAATTTAATATTTCGTTTCTGACTTCGTTTACATCAGTCCCCAATAATACAAAAGAATGTGAAATGTTTGTAACCTGATACATTTTTTTCTGTTGGAACATTAATTTTAGAGGCCAACTTCGAACCAATTTCGCTAAAGTACTCATTAAACGTATTTGCGATATCCAACGCATTCGTCACACTCAGGCCCTGTTCGTTCTTGATTGACGCTATTTGGGATATCTGTCTATCCCGACCTCTAATATTATTAACTGTTTTCCACATATTACCTGACGATATTTGGACAGATTGGTATTCAGTGTTTTTTTGCTCTAAAATATACCAATTTCTCATATATAGGTCAACAGCTATTACTCCCAGAAAACCAACATTTCCTACAACAATGTGTTTCTGAAGACCAAATGCAAGGTTACAGACAGATGGACGCTAAAATGGATAAGAGACCTATAGAAGTTTCAGCTTCACCTGAAAATACTGACAAAGAAAATACTAGAACCAAATACAATACAAGAAACTCACGAGGAGGTAATAATTGATATATTATAAAAATCTTGTAACTGACAGTTTATGTCTACTCGATGGTATAGAGTATAGAATATTAAGCAAAAAATATAAAATAGTATTTTAATAAATTAAGGTAATAATTACAAATGCTTTATATCGAAACTTTTACAATTCGGTCTAGTCAGCCCATCATAAATTCGTTTACTTGAAAAGTAAATTTTTATCCCTTTATCTGGTCTATTACGTACACATAGAAGGTAGGCATTTGTTGCCTGTTTTTACATATTTCGCTCTAAAATGTACCAATTTTTCATGTACCTATAGGTCAACAGCTATTACTCCCAGAAAGCCATATCCTACAACGTGTTTCAGAAGGCAAAATGGAATGTAACAAACAGATGAACGCTAAAATAGAAAAGACACCTATTCTATTTCAACTTTTATCTATTTCAACTTCACCTGAAAATACAGACAAAGATAATACTAGAACCAAATACAATACTAGACACTCACAAAGAGGTAATAATAAACATACTATTATAAAATCTTGTATATTTTCTAATAGTGTATATGTTTTAATAGAATAATAGTTGTGCAAAAATATATAAAAGATAATGTAATTAATTTAAATGTTCCTTTATCTGACCTATTACCTACACATTGGGTAGGCATTTAACCTCAATACATTTGCGTCGGTTTTACACTTGATCTGCACTAGTGTCTAAATGCTTGGAGATTTTTTAAATAGTTGATTATATTTATAAAAATGTGAAAAAATTCTTAAAAAGTTAAACAGCGCTAAAATAAAAGTAGAATATCTTCCATCCTTGTTTTCTATTATCATTTTTAGAATTTACTGCTTATTTTTACATATTTCCCTCTAAAATGCACCAATTTCTTATGTATTTTGGTATAGGTGAACAGCTACTACTGCCGGAAAGCCAACAACCATGTGTTTCTGAAGACAAAATGGAATGTTACAAACAGATGGACGCAAAAATAGAAAGGAGACCTATAAAGGTTTTAGCTTCACCTGAAAATACAGATAAAGAAAATACTAGAACCAGATACAATACTAGAAACTCACAACGAGGTAATTGATTATAAAACTAGTATTCATTAGTTATAAACTAGTAGTAGTAAATTAGTAGACTATAAAATCTTACAACTCGATAAAAAAATAATAAATCTAATATATTCTTATTGTACTTGGGGAACATTTTTAGAACCAAACCATGCAGATTCTCTTGAAATTGCAAGTCTACCTACTGATAGAAAGAATGGTCCTCCAAAAAATCAACAAAAGAGAAGAAAACATTGTGATGGTAGTTATTCAGGTAATAACGAAAGGCATTATTTTTAAAAATAGAGAGTTAAGTTAGTTAGTTACTTAACTATTTAAAAGATACTAAATTTGCAGAAAACGGTATTCTGGTTTTAATTTTCACTTTAATATTTAAAAAATAGTTTTACATTCATTACCAAACTCAGATTTGTCGCTCGATATAAACTAAATACTTAAATTTTGTGGTAATAGATATGTTACTGATATCTTCCTCTACGAGATGCGAGACCTTAGTGGGGACGCCCTAGTTAGATCCCCTGTGACACTTTGACTGCATCTAACGAACATCTCACTGTTTTGTCCCTGGCTGTAGTGTCCTGGTCGGGGAATTGCACCTAAACGTATAACGATGTCGGATGGGACTACCCTGTCCGTCATATACCAGTCACCCTCTATTGTCTTGTCATGTATCACGAGCAGAGTGTGTGGGGGATCTTGGCTTAACCGCCAGGACCAGGGGCGGATACAGGAATACAGGTTACAGGGATGCGTAGCTAGATAAAAGACTAGCCACGCGTCTAAATGGGTCTAGGCTCAACCTTGGTGTACCAGGGGCAACCCATTGTATTCTCGTCTCTCTTACTTTTACATGTGGGGCTCTGTAGAACTAGACCGACTAAGGCTAAGAACATAGTGGAGCGACGAGGATACCGGCGAGCCAGCAGCGCGATACCGCGTCGAGCAAGCCTCGAGGTGCTAAAACATAGTAGAGCGGCGATGAATAGCGAGATACTTGTGCAAATTTATTATTTTCATTTGCTTATTGATAATTTAAAATGTTAACAGTGGCTGAAATTCTGGGCAGTAGTGTCGCAAACATTTGGTTAGATGAAATTTTCAAAAACCCGAGAAAGTATGGCAAGTTTTATAACCTTTACGAAAATTTGTTGCCACTTCATCTCATAACTTATCTAAAATGTACCGGTTATGATGATTACTGTGATATATTTAAATTATAGGCAAATAAACTTTTATGTTTTTTGTATATAAGATAGGAATGTTAAATATTTCTTATAGTTGTACAGTGTAGAATAAACAACGTTCAGAACAACATCGTATTCGTTTGATTCTTCCTAAATTATTTATATTAATAATTTATTGGACAGAACATTTGGCGACGAGGATATTTTTGTATCGAGTATTTTTATATCGAGTGATATAAGTGAAAAGTGTTATCGAAGTAAAAATCGAGAGTGTTTAAATTAACATTAACGTTTTTTTGTGCGATATTCAAATTAATATTCACAAAATGGCCGAAGTAATAGGAATTCTTGGTTCTTTACAGACATTTGACCATAATTCTTCAAATATAACGGTGTTTAAAGAACGAATTTCGCAGTTTTTCATCGCGAATAAAATTACGGACAAGGACCGAATGAGGGCGATTTTTTTAAATACCCTTTCTGAGAATACGTATGTACTTGTTCGGAATTTATGTGTGCCAAAATTGCCAGAGGAACTGGATTTCGAAAGTTTAATAAAACTGTTGATAGCAAATTTATCACCGGTTAAGTCATATTTCGCTGAGAGACTAAAATTTTACAATAGTAAACGAAAAGTGAATGAAAGTGTCGCAGACTGGGAAGCCCGTGTCGCAGACTGGGAAGCCCGAAGAGTATAGCTAAAAATTGTGGTTTTCAACAAGAATTAGATGTAGTTATGCGTGACATTTTTGTGGTTGGAATAAACGATACCAAAATCATGGATCGACTGTTTGAAGAGGATGCTTCAAAAGCAGATTTCAAGAAGATGGTTAAGCTTGCTTTATCCAAGGAATGTGTCTTGAGGGAGCATGAAGTTCGAGAAAATTTAGGGCTGGTTTCCATCAAGTCGGAGCCATTAAATTTTTATCAGCAAAATCAGAAGTCGAGACCTAGGAAGGAAAGTGCGGTTTCTAAGAAAACTACCCCAACAAGTAATTCATTTTCTCATCAAAGAAGAAGTGAGAGTGATTTTAATAAAAAAGAAATCAACCGTCCACAAGTAAGTGCTTTGTCTGTGGTAGAACTAACCATTTTTCAAAAAACTGTGCTTATAAAAACTGTACATGTTTTAAATGCGGAGAAAAAGGTCATTTAGCACCGCAGTGTAAGCGTTTTCATAAAAGTAATTTTTTATGCGAAGAATATGAGGATAAAACTCATAATAGCGATTCAGAATCAATTTTTATGTTAAAAGATATAAATTTATTACGATATTTCGACAATACTGATATAGATAGTAATGGAAATGTCAAATCAATTAGTTGAAAATATTCCTATTAATTTTCAGATTGACACAGGTTTTGCACATGCTGCAATTTCTGAGAAATTATTTGACAAACATTTTAGAGGTAAAAAGTTACAAAATAATGATTTAGCTTTTTCTGACTATGTAGGAGTTCAATTTAAACCTTTAGGATATATTTTGTTAAGTATTGTTTCTGAAAATAAAAATTATTCTTTAAAAACATATGTTATACGCAATGGTGGTCCTCCACTAATTGGTAGAAATTGTTTAAGTATGTTAGGTTTAGGTATAAGCTTTGGTATAAGTAAAGTTAGTTGTAAAAATGAAACTGAAAATTTTAATTATGTAAGTCCAGAATCTGAGGTTTCAAATTTAATTAGAAAATATTTAGGTATTTTTGATAACCAAATTGGAATATTTAATAAATTTGAGGTAACATTAAAATTAAAAGAAGACGTAACACCGAAATTTTGCAAGCCGAGGCCGAGGCCGGTGCCTTTTGCACTTAAATCAAAAATAGAAAATGAAATTAAAAGGCTGGTGGATAATAAAGTCTTAGTGTCCACTGATTTTTCTGAATGGGCAACACCCATCGTTCCGGTGTTGAAACAAAATGGCGGTATTAGAATATATGGCGATTTTAAAATTACGTTAAATCCACATCTAAAAAGCCAACAGTTTCCTTTGCCACGGATAGAATATTTATTTTCTGAATTACAAGGCGGACAAAAATTTTCGAAAATTGATTTGTCGGAGGCATATCAACAAATTTTGTTAGACGAAAATTCAAGAAAACTAGTTACAATTTCTACGCATAAAGGTCTTTTTAGTTATACGCGATTACCATATGGAATAACATGCGCTCCAGCAATTTTTCAAAATATTATGGATCAGTTATTTTCTAATATACCTGGTGTGGTTTGTTTCTTAGATGACATTTTGATAACAGGGAAAAATGATCGAGAACATTTAAACAGACTAGAAATTGTTTTAAAGAAGCTACTGGATTGTAATTTAAAAGTTAAAGAAGAGAAGTGTTCATTTTTTCAAGATTCTGTACAGTATTTAGGGCATAAAATTGATAAAGAAGGCTTACATACTTCTAATGAACATGTTAAAGCAATTTAAATGTAAATAAGCCAAACAATGTAACAGAATTAAAATCATTTCTTGGAATGATTAATTTTTATTGTAAATTTATTCCAAATATTTCTATGATTTTAAAACCATTGTATAATCTTCTTAAAAAAAATTCTAACTGGTTATGGAGTGAAGAATGCAGTAGTAGTTTTAAACAAGCTAAAGAAATGTTGTTATCTTCCTCTGTACTTGTTCATTTTGATCCACAAAAGCAAATTAAATTAACAGTTGATGCGTCACAGTATGGGCTAGGGGCTACATTATCTCACATATTTGATACTGGTATAGAAAAACCAATTGCATTTGCTTCGAGATTATTGCTTAAAAACGAATTAGCATATTCACAAATTGAAAAAGAAGCTGCCGCAATTATTTTTGGTGTAAGAAAGTTTTTCCAGTACTTATATAATCAACATTTTTTATTATTTACGGATCATAAACCACTTCTTACTATTTTTGGCGATCGAAAAGGATTACCTATTTTTTCAGCTAATCGTTTACAACGATGGGCTCATATATTATCTGGATTTAAATATGAAATTCATTTTGTTAATTCGGAAAAAAACACTGCTGATTTTGGACAGCGACGAAAAACCGGATTCTTGCAATGTTAAAAATAGTACATTTTACAATTTAACTTCTGTTTCTAATATTTCTTATTTAAATTTTTTAGACGATAAATGTTTACCAATAAACTATAAACAAATTAAGAACGAAACAGCTAGAGAAATATTATTAGTAAAATTTATTTTTACGTTAAACATGGTTTTCCTTTAAAAAGCCCTTCAGAAGAATTTAAACCATTTTTTGTAAGAAAAAATGAATTGACAATTGAACAGGGATGTATCATGTGGGGTTACAGATTGATAATACCTAAAAAGTTTCAATTAAATATTTTGAAGGAATTACACAGTAGTCATATGGGTATAGTAAAAATGAAATCATTAGCACGATCTTACGTGTGGTGGCCTAATATGGATAAGGACATTGAATTATACGTAAACAGTTGTAAATCTTGTTGTATACACGCTCCAAATCTAACAAAAAAATCAATTTCATGTTGGAATTGGCCTAAAGAACCATGGACGCGGTTACATGCTGATTTTTTTCATATGTTGAATAAAAATTTTTTAGTTATCCAAGACGCTACTTCAAAATGGCTTGAATGTTTCGAAGTAAATAATATAACAGCTACAACTACTATAAAAGTTTTTAGGGAATTATTTGCTCGTTTTGGGTTACCTATAGAAGTTTGTACCGACAATGGTCCAACATTTATATCAGAACAATTTCAATTATTTTTAAAATCTGCTGGCATACGTCATTTGTCAGGCGCACCGTATAATCCTGAAACTAATGGTTTAGCGGAAAGTGCAGTCAAAATAGTGAAAAATTCAATTTTAAAAGCTAAGTTTCAAAATCCGAATTTTGATTTACATTTAACTCTTAACCGATCTTTGTTCCAACATCGGAACACACCTCATTCTACAACAAATGAATCACCCGCTAAAATATTATTAAATAGAAAAATTAGGACAAAACTTGATCTTCTTTTACCTTCTACTTCAGATATAGTGCGAAATAAACAAAACAATAAATCAAAATATTATTCAAGTAAAAGAAATGAACATTTTAAAGTAAATGATTCAGTTTGGATAAAGAATTATAGAGATAGATTTCCTAAATGGTGTATGGGAAAGATTATGAAAGTTTTAGGTTCTAGAAATTATGTAGTAAAAACTGAAAGTGGTGATACATGGAAACGTCATGTGAATCAGTTGAAAAGAAATTATAATTTGTGTAATATACCTGATTCAAATGATGTGTTCATTAAACCTATAGAAACATTAAATGTAAATTCTACAACATTAACTGATAGTACAAATGTTAAATCGGTAGAAAATGATTGTGAGAAAATTGATAATAGTGAAAACGAGTCGAATTTTTCGGGTTCGGAGACTAGTGACCGTACGTTAAGACGTCGAAGTAAAATTAAAGCTCCAGATAGACTTATATTATGAATTTAGTTATTTCATAAGTTAGTTAAGTAATGTTTTTTAGAATATCTTTATTTTAGGGGAAGAGATATGTGATATATTTAAATTATCGCCAAATAAACTTTTATGTTTTTTGTATATAGGATAGGAATGTTAAATATTTCTTATAGTTGTACAGTGTAGAATAAACAACGTTCAGAACAACATCGTGTTCGTTTGATTCTTCCTAAATTATTTATATTAATAATTTACTGGACAGGACAATTACTATCTTTCCGATCCTATAAAATCTCTCTTACAAATACTAAATCTATTAATTTTTGAGAATCTATCATTTTGTACAGCGCGACAGAGCGACGAAAACAAAATGATTTGGATCGATCTCGCCGCTCGATCTAACCGCTCGAGCAGATCGCTTTACTATCACAGTTTACTATGTTCGGACGTACTTGTCTTCAGAGGTTTGTTTTGGACGCGATGTCGCGCTGCTTGCTCGCCGCTATCCTCGTCGCTTCACTATGTTCTTAGCCTAACCCTCGCGGTGTATCACCAGCTTTGCCAGAACTCTATTGTAAGCAGGAGTACGGAGATACCTCCGACTGCTCCACGAAGGATTTGCTCCAGCAAAAGCGAAAACATTCCACAAAAACGGGAAGAGTAAAGGAACCAAGAAACAGCCTGGCGCATCTCCACCAAGGGGCAAGAGAAAGAGAGCGAACCTCTCACTTCTGCTCCGACAAGGAGCCAGGATGGAAAGCCGTCCAATACCGGAAGGCAAGTAGGGACGTATCACCAGCTTTGCCAGAACTCGAGAGGAGGGCCATGGTCAGGTCCTCACGATAGGGATTGACCTCAAATACAACGAGGCAATAGAGAAAGAGAGATATATCCTCTGTTATAGATCCGGGACAACACCGGTATCAGGTCTAAGGAGAGACCAAGTTAAGGAGGTGGAGAAAATTAAGACAGGTCCTCCAGCCTCCACCTCAAGGGCACCTCAACCGGAAGGGCACATTTTGAGACCTACTTTATTGCTGGCTACTAATTACGTCTATATCATCAGCAAATCTTAGATGGTTAAGATATTCTCCATCTATTTTTAATCCTTTGTTGGTCCAGCCTTTATTTAAATAATAATTATTTATTTAAATTCTAGTTTAAACCAATTAATTCATTCTGATCATCGTTAATAAATGACTAAAAACTCCAATCAAATTTAATTGAGCTTTAATTATTGAATTACCTAAATCCCAAGAAATCAAGAATGATAATTATCTATACATCTACTGATTTTAACAGCTGTTGATAGAAGACTAAAACATATTTAAATTTAAATTATATTTTATGCGTTTATTAATGAAGATAGGCAAGCGACATGTTTTTTTATTATCATTTTAAGCATTTCTGTACATTTTTACATTACATTTCGATCCCAAATGTACCAATTTATCATGTTTAAATCAACCTTACTCCCCGAAAACCAATATTTCTCAACAATATTATATTAGACAGATATATTTTTTTAGCAGACAAAATGAAATGTAACAAACAAATGGACACTAAAATAGAAAATATACCTATAGAGGGTTCAACTTCACCTGAAAATACAGATAAAGAAAATACTAGAACCAAATACAATACTAGAAATTCACAACGAGGTAATTGATATATTATTATTAGTGTGGAAACGATTACTGTTAAACGATTACGATTGCGATTACGATTAAAACCGAAATAATGGTACGATTACGATTACGATTATCAAGTAAAAAATGAAGAAATATGTATTTCATATAATTTATAAAAGAAACTAACGAAAATAGATACAAACTGAAAATAAAATATAGGTTCAGAACAAAAACTTTTAAAATCTAAAATAAACAAGCAAAATTAAGTCCCAGGCCTGTTTTTGGTATAACATAATATAATTTAATATTGAAAATTAAGAGATATTAAATTTTTATTAAGAAAACATAACATTTTTAAGTTTTCAGAACCCAGTCGATTTCTCTTAGGGGTTTGAATGTTTCCTGCTGTAGAAAACAATCTTTCTGACTGGACAGAGGATGGTTTCTGTGCCAACTTCTTAAGGTTTGGATACAAAGAGTTTTCAGACCAGTACTTGAAGACATCTGCTGAATGATCTAAATTAGGTGCCTTTAGGTATCCCTCAACCTCCTCTTTAAAACCAGTGACTGTAAACAATAAAAACATTACTTGAAGCGAAAGGCAGAGTATTCTTTAATTAGTTTCAAAATATATTTTTTTAAATTTTTATGGAAGAAAATCTATATTGTACCGTCCAGAAAAAATTGACAGTGGCTCTTCCATTTCCACATCGTTTATTATTTCTTGACAAATGTCCCATATTCCATCCCGCGTAGAAGCCTCTGTTACTGGCAGTTTAAGTCCAATCTCTGGCACTTCCTCTATAGGGTCATTTTCCAAGGCGGTTGATAATAGAAGTTTTTTCGCATTTACAGCCGTAACACAGTCATAATAATCGATATTTTCGCATTCCTCGCGTCGAGGTGTCCTAGCGCATGGTGAAGTGACCGGGGAATTACCAGTGGTTTTAAAACTTCTCATATTACAATAATCGTATCAAAAATCGTATAAAAATGGGCGGTTACGATTAATCGGAAAAATCTAATAATCGGCGGTTAATCGTAATCGGAATCGTTTCAACACTAATTATTATAAAATCTTTCAACAACGCATAACATAAAAATATCACCTAAATCTAATATATAATATCCTTATTATTTTTGATGAATATTTTTCCAAATATATAGGTTCCCTTGAAATTGTAAGAAAAGATGGTACTCAAAAAAATCTACAGAAGAGGAGAAAACATTGTAATAATATTTCAGGTAATAATGAAAGGGTTCATTTTTAAAAATACAGAGTTAACAGAAAACGGTATCTTGGTTTTAAGTTTCACATAAATTACGTAAGTTTCTAAAAAAACGTGCGCTACTGACTTTTTTCTCTTGTTGACAACATTGCGTAGTAGCACAGATTAGGTATCCTATAAGTATACAGATAAAAATCTTGTCCCTAATTCGTGGTATGAAAATTGTTTTTATGACGATGTGCAAACGAGTAAAATTTCCTGTGCGCAAAAATTAACTCGCGTAAAATAACAATAAACAGCGTAATAGAGAGATATCGCTAAACCGAATAGCGTGCATGGAATTTAATAAAGCCAGGTGTTATTTCCTTTACTTGAGGTGGTATTAACTCTCTTCATTTATAGTTATCGGATCGGAAAGAATTCTGTTCGCGTCGCGTCCGCTATTTAAACTTAACCTAACTTTGAATTTAAAACTTTGAAATTGTTTTGTTTACTAGGTATTTTTAAACTAAAGGGCTAAAGTGCTTATTTCCAGTGCTTTATTGTTCAACGTCTGCCAGTGGGTTTAGGGCAGCAAGCAACAAATTCTCTTAGAAGGGCTAAGTCGTCATCTGCTGTAAACCTAAGCCTCTTTATAGGTTCTTTAATATTGGAAGAGGTGGAATCCATATTTTGGGCCATATTTATTTAATTAAAACTAATCCCAGCTACTTAAATATCAAATTACCTAATAAAACTAAAGTAATAATTCAAAACAATTCAAACATAACCTAAAATAAAAGATCTCGCCGGCCGGCCCCGGTTGTAAATAGCCGCACACCCATTTAAGCAATTTTTAAACGTTATTTAGAAATAGCGCTTGATGTAATTGATCCGCAAATTACGTCAGGCGATAACGTTATTAGCGGGTGTTGCGTTAAATAATTATTCGAATGGTATGGTAAGATAATTGACTCGCGCATATCGTAACCATGATAAGGTACGCGTAAATACTGCATGACGCTATTCGGTTTTCCGATATCTCTCTAATAACTGTGCCGGTCAGGCGCTGGGCACAATTTTAGAGGCCATAAGTGGGCGTGATATGTGCGCAAACTAGTAACCTAACTAGTGCCCGATTCTGAAAATTGGAACCACGAAAAACAATAAAGAAAAAACAGAGTTTATAATCTGTATGTAGTAGTTCAGGACACATATTTTTGAACTTTTGTAGCTAGTTAGACGTTGTGGTCCAGATTAGCATACTAAAAGATTTCGATCTCCTTGATGGGATAAGGCAATTTTATTTATCACAATTAATGTTCAAAGAAAAAATAAATCACAAATCACAATAAAATTAATGTTAATATAAAAAATCTTATTTTTACCTGAGGAAATATCCAAACGAAAGATATTGCACATGTTTTTTGAAACGTCCTGTATATTAAACATCAATTGGGCTAATTTTCGCACTTTTAGATAATTTTTTGCCCATTTGATACATTTTCTTTATATTTTTAGATATGGCCAATAAATCTTACAACATTAAAAAGAAACTGAAAGTGAAAGTCCCATTCCATATAGACAGAAATCGTTTGATGTCTTTGAGAAGTTTTACAAAAAGTAAGTTGTTATGAGTATTTATTTATGATATTGCTGAACCATGTACCTTCGAAAAGACACTTTACCAGTACTAATTTTTTTGAATATTTTTTATATTTTTTCTTAGTCCTCTTCAACAATCTGTTTTTGTTGTTGACACGTTTCATTTAACTTTATCCAAGCTGTCTTTTTGTTAATTGGATTCATTAACAAACTGTTTCTAACCATAATTGTATTCTCTATCTGTTTATCTGAATATGTTCAAGTAGCCTTATCATATTTAACATGTTTTCATTTTTTTTTTTCATCCAAATAATTATTCTTTGTCTTCGTTAATTTTAACTATTTCAACTACAAAGTGATACAGGAATTACATGTGCCTTCTTGAACGTCTTGAAAATATTCAGTTTTCAAATTTTTGGTGGTTTTTTGGTTAAATTTCTATCATGTCACAACTTAATATTACTGATTTTCTTTTGGTCTGTTCAGCAAAATCTTTATCATGTATGTATGTATTTTAATACTCACCCATTTGAAATTTAAATATGAAACAAATTTCAACCTGTTCTAAGTGATAACGAAAAGATCTCGGTTTTGTGCCTGAATGTTAACCAAAGTTCCTTATAATGTTATAATATTAATCACATCTAACACAGATGAGTATTTATGTTGATATGTATAAGATAGACTTAGATTTATACCAAAGCATTAGAAATTACTGTGTTTATTATATATATGAATAAGCATATTTATTAAAGTTGTTCAAATTATTTTTTTTTCTGTTATTAAAAGTAGTCTAGTTTATTGCTGTTCGTCATTTTGAAATTTAAATGTTGACAGTTGTGTTATATTTTTTTAACTATATTTTTTCTATATTGTGTTTGTTATTGTCGTTTAAGACTTATATTTCCTTTCGTTTTTTGTTCATTTGTTATGTTTAGCATTAGTTCACTCATTTTACCTAATATAAGAGTTTCTAATATTAATATTTTACTTTTCACTTACCCTTTTATACTTAACGTTAACATTTATATAATTTTTTCATTTCATCATTTTAAGTACCTAATAATGTATTAGTTTTTATGGTTTAAAAAACGGCGCCAAGTTGACTTCATTTCCCAACCAACTCTGACGCTGTTTTTTTTTCATTGTATAACCTGTGTTCATTTTTTGCATTGTTTTCGTTTGCGCCATTTAGAATTAAGATGTTTTTGAGTTTACATTTTGTCCACCAAAACAATGCATATGAACTGTATATTCGATCAAAAAACAGCGTCACAGTAGCCTTTGAAATGGCAATCGATAATTTCCGTTGGGCTGACCTACAATTAATTATATAATAATTGATATAAATCTGTTAAAAAATGTATCTGAAACTTTTTTACTAACTTAATTTTATTACATGTAGGGTCGGCTCAATAATAATTATTACCAACACTTTTTCTATTAAAGGATATGTTTCTAATATCTCAAGCCTTTTAATAGAATTAATACTCTGGTAAGCTTGATTTTAGATGAAATACATAGTTCTTCATTCATCCTTGTTTATTTTATTATTACTCTTAAGCGTTTGTTTAAACAACATCTAAATATATTTCTGTTTTCTAAGCAGCACTGTACGAACGGAAAAACGACGTCAAGGAAGGCCTAGAAATGCGGCCTCGATATTTTTGTAAGGGTCGAACGTAATGTAAAATTTTATTTAAAGTCTAGACGTTGGTACGACAAAAATATGTCCTTTAAAAGAATATTGTGACGCTGTTTTTTATTGCGAGGTAGTTTTGTTTTGTCTGTTCTTAAATTGATATATTTCTGGCATGTTTGTGCTAACTTTTGATTAAAATCAGACCACACTGTATAGGTTAGTCTTTCTTCTTAATAGCTCTCTTGTTCGTTTATTTTCAAATATTCATTCTTAAATAAAAGTTCCTAAACTGTAAAAATATATCAGTATATTTATATGTATAACAGGGTTTCTGGTATTATAAAAAAGCATATAATCATGTTATATTAAAATAAATAAAAACATCAAAATTTATAAAATATTTATACATTTAAGTAAATCCTTGATAACAGTATAGGTAGTATATTATATTAAAGGTTCTTGAACATCGTAATCCCGTTTATTACTAAACTCAATACTAGGTTCATCATCCCTATCTGACAGCAGTCTTTGTTTTGTGGATCTAGTTTTTCCCAGAAATCTATAATCAAAAAAAAATATATATATATACAGCAGACAGTGGTATCGACTGACTAGTGAGAAAGAACCCCCACTAGTTCCTAGATTTTATATACAGGGTGACAATTTGAAAACGAACAGTATTTAATATTGCCCCTACCGATGATAGTATGAATTTTTTTTTTGGCGAAACGCGTCAATTTACATATCAAGGGGGACAATTTTTGAGGCATTTGTTGTCGTGTTACTTTCAACCCCTTGACCCCCAGGGCACCTACCCTAAAATTTTAAATAGCAACCCCTATTTCTTTTACCATGTTGTCTTATAAAATTCTACATAAACTGCATTATTTTTTTGAGAATTTTATAAGGAACACAAAAATGGTAAAAGAAATACGGGTTGCCATTTAAAATTTTAGGGGTAGGTGCCCTGGGGGTCAAAGGGTTGAAAGTAACACGACAACAAATGCCTCAAAAATTGTTCCCCTCTTGATATGTAAATTGACTTATTTCGCCAAATTTTCATACTATCATCGGTAGAGGTAATATTAAATACTGTTCGTTTTCAAATTGTCACCCTGTATACTACCCTATTGTCACCCTGTACACTAACTGAAAACTCCCTTGAAAAAATGTAACAAATATGTTTATCAGTAGAATACATATCTGTATGTAATTTGTATTATACAGGGTGTTTCTCTGAGACTTACTTTGAAACTAGTACTTTAATTCGGTAGAACTAGTTTTTTTATGATTGAAGTTCTTTCTCTATACGGTTCTTCTCACGTTACTTTACACCATTTCGACATTTGACATAGTGTATAATGCTTTATCTCGAACGAAAAAGACAGTGGATACAAATATGTGTGCTGCTATAGACGGTATGTTAAGGTACGCGCACATTGACCAGAGCCGCGCGCGCCGCAAGAATCGCACTTTTTTTCTTGTCGCGCACACTGACCAATACCGAACGCGCCGCCATTATTCGCTATTTTATTTCTTTTTTCCCATACTACACCCGTATTTGCCAATCGAATTTCTCATCAGTCGCTTCCGGAGTCCTGTCTGCGGTGATAAGCGTGTTTTTTAATATTTCTCGACAATAAATGACAATAAACAAGAAATAATTATGAGCTCTTTGCTAATAGAAGAAGAAGAAATCACGAGAAAGAATCGAAAGTTGTAGGTTCACAATATTTGCAAAAATCCACATTACATATTTCCATATTTAATTGAGGATGAACTAAAAATTGTTTAATATGAGCCATAAAAAATTTGCGAACTTTCTTGGCATATTGAATTTCTAATCTCCTCTTCGGCTACCTACGCTACGTAGAGTGGAAGGAATTGCGTGTGACGTCAGCAGTGGCGGACTAAGCCTGTCGGGGGCCTGGGGCGGCGAAGCTAAATGTGGCCCCGGTCTGTTTAGATAATGATATACATACTCCTAATGCACACTTTGTAAAAATTGAATGACGTATGTATAATGGTTGACAAAATTCAAGTATTTATACAGGGTGTCCCAGGCTGAGCCTGCGTTAGAAGTTTCTAGAAAACTGCAATATCTAGGTACAAGATTTTGTGCATTTCATTGTTTCACAATGAGATCTATCGATTAAAAATATTTCCAATATGGCGGCACTTTCGGAAATACATGAAGTTGACAGCAACTTTCTTATTTTAAATGGGTGGCCCCATTTTTTATTATATACTTAAATTCTCTGTAAAATTTTATGAATTTTGATATTAAACACTCTATATCTAACGTTAACCGTTTCTGAGAAAAAAAAATATTTATAATTTTTGGAGGAAAAAACTGCCTGTCAAAAATATGTATATAGCCTAAACGTCAAATTTAGTGATTGCCACAGCCACTGTACCATAAAGAGAAGATATGTGGCTATCTATGTCAAAAATTAAATTGTCCGAATGTCATATATATAATGGCCGCAGCTGTCATGGAATTGAGCGATTAAAAAATTATCATAAATCATTTTTTTTTTCAAATGGAAATCCACTTTTTTTATTTCACTCGTGAAAAGGCTTTCGTTACTTTCGTTTTTAAAATTTGTTACTTTTTGACTATACAGGTTCCTGTACCTAAAATAAATCGTTTTTAAGTTATTTAAGATTTAGCTTTAAAGCGTATATGTTTCTTGATTTTAACCAGAAGCCTATGACAGTATATTATTGATCATCATTTCCAAGCTAACTTTGCGCTGGTTTTTTTTCGATCTTAGGGTATATTATTAAAATATCAACTATTAGATATCACTCAAGAACGAAAATACGAGATATATTTATATTTTTATTATATAGATATATTTATATTATATTTTTAATTCATTTTCTGACAGATGGAAATAAATTGGCTGACTGTTTGACACTTAATGTCAAAGGAAGCTAGATAAAATCAAGAAAAATATACGTTTTCAAACTAAATCTTAAATAAATTAAAAACGATTTATTTTAGGTATAGGAATAGGGAATGCAATCCCGCACCAAAATCTCAATCCCGCAAACCTGCGGGATTAAAGCAATCAATCCCGCGGATCCGCAAAATTGCGGGATTGTAAACAATAAATGCTCTTCTTTTCTCTCTCCGATTTTGGGATGAGGTTTGGACCAGGTTTTAGACGCATCGATTGTGATTAAGATGCTATGTGGTTTTCGAAAATATATTTAGCGAATTCTCGTATACAGAGCGTTTTATAATAGTGTACAAATTTGGTCAAGAATTTTTTTTACCGAAAATTTACAATTTTTGAAAAATCGAAATTTTTACTATGTAAAATAACTAATAAAAGTTTTTTTTTAATTTTTTGTTTTAAGGAAAATACGAGTTTTTTTCGAAAAATATGCATTTATAGTCATACATTTGGTCCTAAAATGGTACAAAAGGCGTGGTACATTTTGCATAGATAGGCCCACAATATACTGATATAGCGTGTATCTTAAACTAGCTGAACAGAAATTTGGTCCGATGTATACAGGGTGTTCAAAACATATATTTAATATTAAATAAACTTAAATTTTATTATAATTTATCTACTTATTTTATACTTAATTTTTTTTCATTAATAAAAATTAAAAAATTAATTTTTTTTTTCAATTTGTGTTAGTTATCTGCTTTTAGATACACTCTATATCAATAATTTTTTGGCATATGCAGAATGTACAGCTGGTTCCAATAAAATTGAATACGATTTAAAACATATTTTTATTATTTCGGGCAGTATATTCTATGATACCAATCCTCCATTTCTCAACTCATGTCATGCTGACATTCTGAAAAGTTTATTTGCTACTTTATCAAAAGCAAAGTTGTTTTATTCAATGTCACACTGCTCAAATATTCGAAAAAAATGAGTCGTATTCATTTTTTTTGGAACCAGCTGTTCAAAGTTAGTACCATTTAGAACCATCGTATGACTAAAAATGCATATTTTTCGAAAAAACGCCGTATTTTCCATAAAACAAAAAAAACCGATCAAATTGTTTTTTCTAATTTTAATACAGATTAGTCGTACTTGGTAAAAATTTAGATTTTTTAAAAACTGTAAATTTGGTAAAGATTCTTAACCAAATTTTCATACTCTTATAAAACACCCTGTATACGAGAATTCGCTAAATATATTTTCGAAAATCACATAGTATCTTAATCACAATAAATGCATCTAAAACCTGGTCCAAACCGCATCCCAAAATCTTTTTTAGTTCAAGAGATATTCAACTTAAATTTACCCTAAAATTTTGCTTGTCCCGATAATTATGTTCGGCAGTTTATTTAACGAAATTGTCCACAAGTACTAGTTAAACGCTTTTCTTCACTTTCACGTTACGCTGGAAAGAAATCTAATAACTAACCTGTTTGTTTCACTTATTTTTAATGGCCAAGCCGTAAGGGGAATCCCCTAGTGTCGATCCCGCAGATCCCGCGCACGGTAAATCCCGCGGAATCACAGAGGAATTGCGGGATCCAGCATTTGCGGGATTGCATTATATATATATATATATATATATATATATATATATATATATATATATATATATATATATATATATATATATATATATATATATATATATATATATATATATATATATATATATATATATATATATATATATATATATATATATATATATATATATATATATATATATATATATATATATATATATATAGAATATTATATTTAGGTCATTAAATCAAGCAAGACCAAACGCAGGATCCATTTGGCATGGGTAGCATTTGGAAATATGAGCGATATTTTCAAGGATAAAAAGGTACCCATCAACTTAAAGAAAAAGGCTTACGACAGCTGCATTCTACCTGTGCTTACGTATGGCTTAGAGACATGGCAATTATTATTTCAAGCTGGGTAAGGAGAACCAAAATACGGAGACCAAACGCAGGATCCATTTGGCATGGGTAGCATTTGGAAATATGAGCGATATTTTCAAGGATAAAAAGGTACCCATCAACTTAAAGAAAAAGGCTTACGACAGCTGCATTCTACCTGTGCTTACGTATGGCTTAGAGACATGGCAATTATTTTATTAACATTTATTATTATTTTTAGGGTAATCCCAGAACAGCAGAACTACGAGTAGCACAAAAAGCCATGGAAAGAATTATGTTGGGAGTCACCATTAAGGATAAAATACGGAACTCCCATATACGTCAAAAAATAAAATTAATAGATGTTGTTAGAGACCTAGGGGAATAACAAGTGTGGGCTGACCAAAAAAGAGATGGGTCGATGACGTCAGGGCAGTGGCGGGAAGTGGCTAGAGATCGCGAAGCATGGAAAAACCTAGAAGAGGCCTATATCCAACACTGGATGGAACCAGGCTGAGAAAGAAAAAGAAGAAGAAATCATAAATTCGGCATATTGAATGCTGAAATTTGGTTTATAGGTTAAGGAAAGTCGGCATATCCGATCTATCTAAATATCTAAATCAACTGATTGGATATCAAACAGGGAGGCCAGAAAAAATAATTATTTCCGTTTGTTA